CCCCAAGGCCTCTCTTGAGCTGAAGAGCAGCCTATTTCAAAGTCAAGACTGAGTGAGGAAGCAAGGCTTGTCAGTAGTGTTCCCACAGGCCCGGGGACTGCTGGCCACACAAGACAGTACTGCATGGCTGGGCGCCAAGAGGAGAGAGTCACGGACATGAGGAAGTACAGCAGGCTGTGGAGCCAGGCCAGTTCCCGGAGGCCTGAGGCCCACAGGGCCTGTGCAGTTGGCTCTGTAACACACACTTGCTAAATACGAGTTGAGGCCCCTTAAACAGGACAAATATTTACTAGCACCTGCTCTCTGTAAGCATCAGGGACATCTCAGCAGGCAAAGCAGACGCGGTTCCAGCCCTCTTTGGATGTCAGTTCCATTCTCAGTCCCCTGGAGGTAACAGACACAGGAGGAGGACTGGAGGGCAGGGAGTGCTGGGTACAGGATCCGGGGCCTTGAAGCGGGCAGCAAGCACTAACAGGAAGTTGGGGAGGTAAAATTCAGACATCAGAGACCCCTGGAGCCAGTTCATCATGCAGCGTGTGCCACACAGAACTATTTAGCTGCTGTCCAGCAACTCCAGAGGCCACAGGACCCTGTCCCTGAATGCTCCAGGCAGCCCCCTCAAGGCAGTCTGGGGAAAGCGCCCCGGCTTTCCCTCAGCCCTGCTTCCCCTTCTGGCTTCCCTATTTCTGAAAGCAGCATCACCAGTCTCCCTGGCCTCCCGGGCTAGAAATCTCAAAGTTATCCCGACACTTCCTGCTCCTTCGTCTGCTATACCCAATCTGTCGGCACGTTCTGCTGTTCCTTGGAAATGTCATTCAAGTGCACCCCCGCTTAGCCCTCAACCCCTCTTTTGGCACAACACTTCTCTGCCCAAGAATCTTCAGCGACTCCCCACAGCCTGCTGCCTTCACCTGAGCCTTTTCTCTCTGGAGTTCAGTCAGTCCTACCTACCCTCCTTCTATGCCTCGAACGAGCCCTCTACAGCAGACAGGACTCTGCACCTGCCCCGTCCATTCTGCCCACTTGCTCCATCCTCTCCCCTCTTGTTCTGCCTGTGCAGTCCCTGTTCACCCCGCTCTCTGTGAAGGCCTCCCCTGTGGGCTCCATCCAGCTTGGAATGCCTGCTTCTCACATCCACGGTGCATGTGAACACAGACATGAGGTTCCACCTGAGCAGGGTCCAGCATACTCTCCACCCAAATAATTCACCTGCAGAAGAAAGAACAGGGCCCGCCCCACACTAACTACCCACTAACCCCCCAGCCCAGGCTGCACTGCACGTAAATCTGAGTGTCTCTGGGATCTGGAGCTCCCACTAGACTGTGACTCGGGACAGGGTGTATTGACACTGCAGGGGCCCCAGGGACTACCTGTTCCCTGTGAAGGTGGAGATTGGCACATCTAATTCACAGGGCAACTGGGGTGATTGAGCAAAACAAGCAGAATATGTAGTCAATATGATGTTCAATTGATTCCTGCCTTCCTTCTCATAATCTACCCGGCCTGATGCTGTGGTATGAGATTTTTTTTTTCATACTGAATTTGCTAAATGTAAGACATACCCTGTTTTATGTAACAAAATAGTATAGTCAAGTAACAACTGTTTCTTATGTCCCCACTATGCATGGGGCCAGTTTACAGGTCATGAAGGACAGTGCCTGTCCTGTGAGGAGCAAAGGCCTTGCTCCTCAAGGGATTTGCTGTCCAAGTCAGGAGACAGACAGGGCAGAGAGTTATGAATTCTGGGCAGGATTAGGGAACTAGCCAGGCTCAAGGAGAGGGAGAGTAGGTAGGGCACCCAGGGGACATGCCCCAGCAGCCCTTTGCCTGTGTCCACTCACATTCCCGCCACTCACGTTCCATGCTGCCAGCCCTCTGGTGAAGATTATCCTCATTTTATAGGTGAGGAAAGTGAGGCTCGGAGAGGTTAAGTCTCTTGTCCAAGGTCATACAGAGAGGGTTGAGAGGACAGATACCTGGATGGGCCTGACACTGAGCAGCCGGAGCTGCTGTCCCTTCCATGCTATAATTGCCTCGGGCTGCACTCTGAAGGCAGGGCAAGATATGGATGGGCAGGGGCTGGAACTCAGTGGCAGAGCACCTGCTTAGTGTGCGTGAAGTCCCAGGTTTGATCCCTGGCAATGAACAAAAAGCAAGGACAGGGGCACAGTGAGAGCATACGGATGGTGCCTGGGCACACAGGTGAGCAGAAGGTCATGCCAGATGACACACATGGCCTGAGGCTACACCACATACATATGGCCTTCAACTTCAAGCAAAGGCATCTGAACTATACCCAGGAGCCCACTGCCACTGAGGGCTCCTGAGACAGGGTCACCTGTAAGACACAGTCTATCCCACATGAAGGAAGAAAGCCCTGAGCTATCACTGGGATGGACTGAAGCATGGGAGAGGGAGAGGTGGCCTATCTGAGGACTGAGAAGCTGAGACCTTACAAAGTGACAAGGATTCCCCCATGAGCACAGGACTGTGAGTCCAGAGACCTCCCACATAACTGTGGAGCCTTGGATCAGTTATTCAACTTCTCTGAGCCTCAGTTTCTGTTGGTCACTGATACCTCCTTACTGGCTGTTGGTACAGACCAAATGCTATAGGGCCATGGTAGGGATCAAAGTCATTCTGCTGAAAGGCTTCTGGAAAGCTGCAGAACTCTGTACACATATAAGGGATGAATACTTTGCAGCAGGGACAAGAGCTGTGTTCTTCCCACATGCGCACTAAGGCTGCCCACTCTCACCAGCCACATAGCCACCGGTGTCCCACTCACCACTTTTGCTTTCTGAGCTGGTTTTCCATGTCACGCAGAGCCTGTCTTCCCCCTACCCCCCATCCCATCTCTTCAGGGTTGAGACCCAGCTCAGGGGAGTTGAGCTCCTGTCTCCAGGGCCCCCTGTCTTCCAGCAGCACTGCCCACCTTCCTAGAGAAGGGTTCACTTTCCTCCCTTTACAAAAATGTCCCCTCCCCATCCTAAGGGAAACCAAACTGGAAAGTGAAATTATGAAGAAGCCCCAGTCTCTCAGAACTTTCCAGTGCTGGAAAAACAGCAATGATCAAGATGCAAAGGGAAGGAGGAAGGTAATAACTTGGAAACCTATGATCTCCTCCCAACTCCATTAGCACCTGTCTCTTCCCCACTAGGGACCAGCCCTGCCTCTGGGGCTCAGGTGACAGGTCCAGAAGAGGAGAGAGGTGAGCTGGTGAGGCAGGCAGGAGGCTGGTGGGCAAGCCCAGGCCACATGAAATGAACAAAATATGGAAAATTAAACAAACCCAGCCACTGTAATGTGTGCATATTAGATTAACTTCTCCAAAGGGTCATGACCTTGAGGAACACATCCAGCCAGTGTGGAAAATAATAAACCTGATTAATGATGAAGCATGAGCTGCGGCTTCAGCAAATAAAGCAAGCCCATAGATGCCCAGTGGAATTCCAGGAGCTTCCTTCCCTGGCAGGACGGATCACAGCTGACTCTCCAACCCCTTGCCCATCACCAAGCACAGACACTCAGGGACTAATGTAAGACAGGATTTTTCTCTCACATGCCCACTGCCAACCCCAATGGCCCCATCCCAGTGGATGCCACATCAGCTGTATCCAGGTGCTCTTAGAAGTGTCACTACCACCAAGTGACCCACAGGGAGTGCACATGAAGGTAGTTCTCTTCATCCCTGGCAGGGCTCAGACCTCTTGGTCTGGTCTTGAGAGATGCCCACTGCAGGGCAGAGAGGTCCAGCCTTGCCAGAGCTCCTCTCCTCTTTCCAGACAACCCAGGCCCCTGGGAGACATGCCCAGGAGAGCCACTGGAGGGAGGCAGGGAGGTGGCACCGCGTGGCATCACCAGACAACAGCACCAGGAGGAAGATGGCAGCATCAAGTACAGATGCCAAGAGCCAAGCAGCCCAAGGTCCAGGCGGGGAGCGGCTCAGCCCGCATTGCCCCACCACTGCCAGGCAGCCCGGCAAGAGGGACCTGTCCCAGCCCCTTCAGCGATCAACCTCAACCCAAGGCCCTCAGCCAACTCTCCCCAGGCTCCACCTCCTCCCTCACTTTCCTCAGCTCCAGGGAGCCAGGCGCGAGGCACAGGTGCTCACAGCGCCTTGAACCCCCTGTCCCAGCAGTCGCCCGCGCGTCCTCCACCCAGCCAGGTCTGAGCCACTCCTGCTCTGCCAGTCCCCACGGGAGAGCATCTCCATGGGCTCCCCTCCCCCTCCACCCAGCCCCCTCCCCCTCCACCCAGCCCCCTCCCCCTCCCGCGCCTAATGCAGGTCTCTAGAGTTTCTCCCTCACTTCCCCACTCGGTGAACTAGGGTGGGATGTCTGGGAACCCCATTAGTCGCGGGAAGGAGGGTCATTTCTGATAGGACGCTGGTTCTGCCAAAGCAAGACGACTCGTGGGGTGGGGGGTGTGGTGGTGGCCGGAGTCCAGGGCAGGGGCAAGGGGCAGTCGAGGCAGATGGCAGCAAGGGAAGGGGAGAGGGCTTCGGGCGCAGGGCTGCGCTTGAAGGAGGACCGTAGCTGGGGAAGAGCAGCGCGGGGAGAAGCGGAGGGTGACGAGATGGGGGAGAAGCGCCAGTGTCGGGAAGGGGCCGTCATCCCTGCAGGGGGCAGAGGCAGGGCTGGGAGTTGTACCGGGAAGGGGGAGGACCACAGCGGGAGGACGGAGAGCCAGGGAGGGGATGCAGAGGGGGGAGGCAGACGGTGATGGAGATTGGAGGAACTACGGGAGCAGAGCGGCGGGGGCTCGGTGGCGAATTGGGGGACGCAGGCACCGAGGTGCCGGGGACAGGGCGGCTGAAGGCGGGAGAGGGGAGGCGGGGGCGGGGGCCGAGCTGCGGCCCCCGAGGGTAGGAGCGGCGGAAACGTCAGAAGTCGGGGTGCGGCGCGGCAGGGGGCCGGCGCGATGGCACTGGGGGGGTGGGGGGCCGGGGGCAGCCCGAGGTACGGGCTGGGGTCTCCGCGGAGGGCCGATGCCCTTACCTGGGCGGCTCCGCACTCCGGGGGCTGAGCCAGGGACCGGGTGCTGCTCTGCCGGCCGCTGGGCTGTTGTTTTCCTTTTTTTTTTTTTTTTTTTTTTTTCTTCCGCAGCAACCGCGGCGGCTCCAGCCCGATCCGCCGGCAGCCGAAGGCAGAGTCTGTGTCCGGCTGCGAGCGAGCCGGGAGCGGGGAGCGCGGGAGGCGCGCTGCGAGGCGCGGGGCGCCGCCCGGCGGGCAGCACGGGAACTGCGGCGGCCCCGCTCGCGCCGGCCGGGGGGGCGCCCCTTCGGGGCCGGCCCGCACCCCGCCGGCAGCCGCAAGCCCCTGAGACCACTCCGGGACCCGCGGAGCGCGCCCAGAGCCCAGGCTCAGGGGCAGCGGAGCGGCGGCAGTGGCGGCCGGGGGACGGGTCCGAGAAGCCCCGGCAAACTTGCGGCCGCCAGGGCCGGCCAAGCGGGAGGCGCCCTGCTGAGGAGCGGCACTGAGCCCGGACGAGGGGCGTTCCGCAGGCCGAGGCGCGGGCGCGGCGATGTCTGGAGCTCAGGTGGGGAACCCGGACGCAGCCCGCACCCTCCACAGCCCTGCGCAAAGGGGCAACCCACCCCGGCCCCCGGGAGTTATTAGCCCGGCCAGCTTCGGTGGGCAAAGGGCGCCTCCTGGTGGCGTTTGGGGAACAGCGCGAGGGATGAGCGTGCCCTGTTAACCAAGAGACTGGCCTTGGTGGGGGCACGGAAGATGGAGAGCGGGAGGATTTCTGGGCAAGACCATATTGACCACGTTGTTCCACCTGTTCCAGGGAGCTGAAGAGCAACAGCTTGCACTTGATGGTTCCAAGGCACTACTTAATGAACACAAACATCTTGGAAGGAGCTGTCATTTCACGTTACCCACCAAGAGCCAAAGGCTATGAGAGGGGAAGGGACCAGCCTGAGTACAGAGGTAACATGTGGTAGGACCGGGGGCGGGGGGGGGGAACCAAGCCCCCTGACATACGGTTCCATCCTCATTTACTACATCATAGCTGTCCGAAAAATGGGTCTGGGAAATGGGAGCCCAGCAGGAACAGGAGGCCCAAGGGACATGTGAACTCCTCAAACCTATTAGTTCCCCTTTTCCAACCCACAGGGCCTCTGTCTTGAAAGCACCAATGAACTGATTGCCTCCCCTCACACACACATACACGCTACTAATGCTGAACACTGGACTGTTTTGACCCCAGATTGAAATGTCATCAAGTCAAGTGAGCAAACATACAAGCAAGGTTTTTACTGGGGCATCCATTCAGGAGACAGCTCTGCCAAGAAGTCAGTTCTGCTGGCAGGAATTGGGGGGGAGGGGAAGAAGCTACTGAGCTGTTTGCAGGTTGGGGTTTAGGAATGTTGCCCCAATGAGTTAAATGAAAGCACCGAGGCTCTAATGATGCACCTCATACTATTTGTGCCAAGAGGCACATTTGGAATCTCACACTATAAGTTAAGGTGGGATGTTGTAATGGCTGTCAGAGTGCATTTGCCCTCTGTCCCTATCTTACACTCATCAGCACACCCAGTCTCAGCAAAATTGTTTGTGAAAAAATCATTCCCAGACATACTTGGTTGGATCTCAGGCATGAAAGGTTTGTATGTGAACTATAGAATATTCATTGACATTTTCTTCCCCTTGGCCAGCCAGCCAGCCAGCACTGAGCTTCCTGCTTGGTGAGGAATATGGCTCTCTGCAAGAGCCTTGTCCTCCCTCTCCCACCTCCATACTGGGTTTCAATGCTCCTTAGGAAAGGGAGTCACCATACTGAACAGGGCTCCATTTCTCCAGACAAACATTATTTAGCACCTACTGTGTGCCAAGAGCAAACTGCCCACACAAGTGTGGTTTCCAAAATCCTTCATATCAGCTTTGTAAGGTAGGTGTAAGGGAAACCTAACCCCATTTCACAGGTGAGGAAACCCGTTCAAGTTTAAGATCACCTGCGAGACAGTAAGGCCCTGAGGTGAATGGGCTACACAGCTGAGTTTAACTCCAGCTCTGTTCTCTCACTCTGGAACTCATTCCCCTTACTTGCACAAAGGACAAAATTATCTAATGGAAAGTGCCCTAGGCTGGCAGGAGTGAGGGGCATCCCTGTGACCCAGCCAGAGACTTCAATTCCCTTGGCTTCAGTTTCCATCTCCAAATATGAGGGAAGTATCCTGGAATAGTCTTAAAGTTATTTCAAACTCTGACATGCATGAATCCCTAGCCTACTGGAAGGATGCAAGATCAGCAAGACCACAGAGGCTAAGTGTCTGGGAAGGAAAATAGTATAAAAGCGAAATGCTTTCTCATATTCTTTGGGCCTGATGAGCTCATCTTATGAACCAGGGAAATGAGGAGGAGCTTTTGGCAGGTCCCAGAGATTACTAATGACTGGCAGTAGCCTTGGCTGTAGCCTCATGAGGACCCCAGTTTCTTCCTTTCCTGCAAGGGTGATATTGATTTTCTTCTTCTTTAAGTCTCTGCCCTTAGAAACAGGAGTCCCTGCAAGGCAGAGGGTGGGCAGCCATGCCAGAGAAGCCTACTGTTAGGCCCAGCTAGTTGTACCCCACTCACTTCCGGGTCTCTTTCTTCCCTCAAGGCTGGCTGCTGAGTTCTTTTAAAATACTCACTTCTTGCTCTCCACCTTCTTTCCTCCTGAACATTGGTGCCACGTGCCAATCAGAACACAGTTCCAGGCAAGCTAACTTCCCAAGCTCAGTTCTAGGTGTGAGAAGGTCTTTCCAGATCATTTTTTGATTCCACAGTAGGGGAAGGTCAGAGAACAGTGAGCTGGCTTGGCTGATCTTGAATGAAGAAGCAGAATGATTGGGATGTGGGGCCCCCTCCTTTAGGACTTCTTGCCAGAAACCTTCCAGGTAGCCGACTGCTGGCTGTGCTAGATAGACAGGTTTGGATGTACTTGGGCATCGTGATTAGGTCTGGTGGATTCAATCCCTGTGGAGGCTGGAGACTGCAGGAAGGAGTTTGTTCTCCTGGATTTACTTTCAGCTCCTTCCGTCTTTGTATTTACCTCAGGGTCATGGATGAAGAATACTTGATCTGAATTTCCTACCATGTCTTTCCCACAGGTCCCTTGGAAGGTTCATAAGTGCATGAATGGAGCCAACTGAGGCACAGTGACTGGGTGATTTGTCCTCACATTTAGTGCTCATGCCATCATCATGCCACTGTCTCTTAGAAACTATCACAACCGTCTCCCTGCCGGTGGACTGGCTTCTTCCTCCAGTATACCCCCAAACGGCTGCCAGAGTGATGTATTTAAAACGAGCCCAACCACTTCACACCCAAGTGAAAAACCCTTCTAGCATCCCACATAACCGGGAAGGTAAAATTGAATCTAAAATTCCTTGGCACAGACACAAGGTCCCTGCTTGCTTCCCCTGTCTCGCCCATCTTCTGCCTCTGCCTGGCTCATATTCCATCAATACCAAAGTACTCCAGGTTCTCCGGTCATCCTGCCCTAACCCTCTGTGCCTTAATACACTGAATTCTGCCTGGCCTCCTCACACCCCCTATATACACATACACAAGTGCATTTTTACCTTTCAAAACAAAGGTTTGAATTCCTCTCCTGCCGGAACCATCTCACACCTCACTATCTCGTCCCTTCCTGACAGAATGAATTCTTTCTCTGGGCCCCTCTTGCATATACTAGAGGTTATGCTTACCTACTTGTTCTGTGTCTGCTCTAATAGACTGTGAACATGTTCTCTGGATCTATATTTTAGCTTCTCCCTTCTTTGGATTTGCCTCAGGTAGACCCATGAAGCAGAATATTTTATCTTAAATTTACCTGCCATTTTTTTTTCAAAGGTCCCTTCGAAGGCTCATCACAAGTTCATAGAGAATATAGACTACAGAGAAAGAGTTAGTGGGGTCGAACGACAATTCTAGCAGATCACAGTTGCTCCTGTTATTAGTCCCCATAAGTTAGGTGACATCCCCCAGCTAGCAAATATGACACTCTGGGTCCTCACTATGCTTGGAGTCTATGTTAATTTAGGCTGAAGTCGGAGTTCACATTTAAGGAGCTGGAGGATAAGGGAAGCAAGAGGCTGGTTGTACATTGTATTGCCATACAGCGCTACAGTCCATCAGTCCTATCGAAGCACTTCACTAGAGCTCCAGATTAAATGAAAGTAAATCCTCTGTGTCCTCGATGCCTGTGCTGGGGACAAATGGTTCATTCCTAAAGGATAAACTGGTCTAACAGAACCAGTTTAGAAATGGAATTGAAGTTAGGAGGAATGTTCTTTGATTTTTACCCATGCCTTACAGGATGAAATAAGCAGTAGTTTTCCCCAGTGACATTATGGATCAGTGTTGGCAAAGAACAAATAGATGTGGTCTGTGGTTTAGACATCGCATAGTTCTCAAGCCTCATCACACCATATTGCTCAGCCACGCTGGCTGCAAAGACTACAACTAATGGTGAAAAGCTGCATCCCCACTTGATGACCATATTATAACCCAGCTCCCTTCCCCTAACATCTCTTATCTGCATTTTATTAGTCTAGGCATAACAAATACTGTTCACACTGAAATGAAAATGAAAATCTGGATCGTCCTTGATCGGAATACAACCTGCCTCTCAGTGCTGCAGCCCTGCTCTCATCCCTAATGTGGGGACCTAATTCATTCCCGCCTCATGTCTCAGTCCCCATTTACTACTCTGCAGAGGAGATCAGCTGCCATGGCAATTAGTTCTTCATGAGATCTTTGGTGCCTATTAGGTGCCAGGCAAAACAGAAAACAAGATGAATCCAGGGCGAGTCCTTTTGGAGTCCAAAGTCAAGTAAAAGGTATTGTAGATGACACATTTTCTTTCTAACAATTCTGGCCCATTCTGACTTGGGGTATTTTCTGTATGGTATCATTAACCTACATTGATCAATTAACTCAGTTAAGTGATCACTGTCCAGGCTAGAAGGCAGGGTGGGGCTGGAGAAGCAATAAGTGGTTTATGCCAATTTAAGAGTCAAGGACAAGGGGGAGGTGTCACTAGGATGGGGTGGAAACCCAGAACTAGAGATATGAGTCTTCCACAGAGCTGCACTGTAGCTGGAGGTCTGCTGTCACTACAGCTACAGACGTGGAGAAAGGGGCACTGGTGCTCATGCACAAATGAAGAC